ACTTACAGCCTCATCCACCGGCTGACACCTGAACCATCCTCCAGTAAGAAGTCGTGGTACAGTTACGAGAAGGTGAGCCCCGATCAAGCTGGTTCACAACTGTACTGCAAGTATTGTAGACTCTATGGACATACCATAGACAAGTGTGGTAAGTCTCAATACAAGGGAACCACTGACCAACAACGACCCAAACCAACTCCTCCTAAGTCCGGTAAGCCTGTGATGAATGTTGGTGTTAATGTTAATGATCTTTCTCTTTTCAGTAACCACCTGTATACTGGAACTGTCTCTGCCAACGGTTCAAATCCGGAGGGACGTTTCAAATTGAAGATCTTGAGGGACACAGCGGCTCTACAATCGATCATCTTGAAGTCGGCTGTGCCCAACATAGTCTACACCGGGGAAACGGTCTTCATCACTGACCTCACTGCTACTACTCCATACCCTCTCGCCAGAGTCCACCTGGATTGTCCCTACGTGAACGGGGAAGTCCAAGTCGCCGTCAGGGAAAAGCCTTTTCCCATGCCTGGAGTGCAACTTCTCCTAGGCAACGACTTGGCAGAAGACCTGCAACCAACCAACCTGATCGTCATGGACAAACCCCAGGTGTGTAACTCTGTGCCCATAAATCCTATTCTCGAGTATGTTCCAGCAGAGGTTCAAGAGAGTGATGAAGTTTCTCCTCCGGTTCTCGTGACCACCCGTGCACAAGCCGCACGTCCACAGCCAGCTGACTCTACTGCTACCGCTGTCCCTCAAGACCCTCAGAAACTACCCCCGCATCTGACCAAGTTGGAGTTCCGTAAGTTGCAGAGGAAAGATCTTACTTTAACACCATTGTTTTTCCAGGCTGAGACTCAACCCGACAGTATTCCTGGGTTCTTCCTAGAGAACGACTTGCTCTACCGCAGATATAGACCCAGTAAACTGAAGGAGGAGGACGATTGGGCCAACACCGAACAACTTGTGATTCCCACCAGCCTGCGGCCCACTATTCTACACCTGGCCCATGGAGCATTCTCCCACTACGGCTTCAACAAGACGTACCATGGGATTCGTCAAGACTACTACTGGCCAGGTATGGTAAACAACGTCAAACAGTACGTAAAACAGTGTCATACATGTCAGATGGCAGGCAAACCGAACGTCTCCATTCCCAGAGCACCACTGATTCCCATACAGGTGCCTGCGGAACCTTTCCACAGACTCATAATAGACTGTGTTGGTCCTTTACCTCGGACCAGTTCAGGTAACGCCTACATCCTAACCATCCTGTGTCCTACCACCAGATTTCCCATAGCAGTTCCAGTGAAGAACATCACGGCTGCTACGGTTATCAAACATCTACTGAAGATCTTCACTCAATACGGATTTCCCAGGGAGATTCAAAGTGACTGTGGCACCAACTTCACCAGTGATCTCTTCAAAAGGACACTGGAGGAGTTCAACATCAAACAGGTATTGTCCAGCCCCTATCATCCTGCTTCACAGGGTTCTCTTGAACGTAGTCATCAGACCATCAAAGCACTCTTGAAAAAGTTTTGTAGTGAAACCTCAAAGGATTGGGATAAGCAGATTGACCTAATAATGTGTATTTTCAGAAGTCTCCCCAATGAGTCCCTAGGAGTATCTCCTTATGAGATGCTCTACGGCCGTAAGTGCCGTACTCCCCTTAAGGCTTTCAAAGACTCTCTCAGAGATGCCACCTTCAGTGAGCATCAGAATGTGCCCCAGTTTCTTCAAAACCTTCAGCACATTCTAGAGAGAGTCCACCGCTTTGCCCATGATAATCTATTGAAAGCCCAGGTGAGAATGAAGACTCATTACGACCAGACCAGCAAAGTAAGAAAATTCAAGCCGGGAGACTTCGTCCTTGCTTATTTCCCTATCCCAGGTTCACCTTTACAAAACAGATTTTCAGGACCCTACTGCGTCAAAGAGTGCAGGAATAATAATAACTATGTGATAGAGACTCCAGATAGGCGGCGGAAGACCCAGCTGTGCCACGTCAACCTCCTGAAGCAATATAATGGTACTCCTCCCACTGTCTTGATTAATTGTTCTACCTTCACAGAACCCTACATCCACAGTGAGACCATCCCGGCTTCTTCTCCCGAAAGCACTGACAAGGAATCGGCGCTTTCTAATTCCAAAATCCTTAATGATCTTCCCAAATGCTTTCAGGATAATAATCGTGCTCCTATGCCCTCTTCTAATTCCACTCTCACCTCGTCAGATAAGCCCTTCATCCTCCATGTCGACGCCAATGGTACCGACGTGGGTGGTGTCGTGATGCAGCAACGAGGCGAGAAGAATACACCTGTCAGCGACTACTGCTACAAGGAACGACGGAACAATTGGCAAGGAGCTACTCTTCCTCATCCTGAAGCTTCAGCACTTCACTCCACACCTGAAAAGTGCTCGGTCCACCATCAATACGGACCACACCACCCTACACCTCCTGCAGCACGCCCACTTCTCATCTCAACGTCTTCTACTATGGGCTTGCTACCTGCAGAAATTCAACCTGGAGACACGCTATACCAAGAGTCTGACAACATCTTAGCCCATGATCTCTCCAGAGTTTATGAAGTAGAAGCAACTCCATCCATTACTCCACCACATAACGACGTACTTCTTCCAGAACCGCAGGCTTCGGGGGAGAGTTGTGACGATAATCTCCTTCAAGAGATTGAGCCTGCTCTTCCCTTCATAATTACGTCTTCACAACTATATAAAAGACTATGGAAGAAATGTCCGACAACAACACCAGCACCAGCAAGGCTTGCCAGGGTGAGCAGAAACGTATGCAGCCCGCCACCTGTTCGGACCCAAATCACCAAACTACCCGTTGATCGCTACGGCTCCGCTGATTGGTCGCCGGTCTGGCTGCACCTGCACTCGCCCCCCAATACTACCTGATGTCTGGGGTCCCCCAACATCAGTCTTCAGAATGTTCCGTGCTTTCGTAGCCAGCACTCCTCCCAGCTAGACTCTAGAGTGTACTGAGAGAGGTGGTGGCTTTAAGCCAATATTCCAGCACCTCCCACTTACTGTTGTATTGCACTTCTTGTTATTTTGCCTTAACGTAACTTTTCATTTTGTCATTTAAGTATTCTTATTATTTTGATTGATTGATTTTATTATACATATTTGTTTGTGCATTATTTTCATGTTTTGATTTATTTAACGTCATTAAAATTTCATTGTTAAAGTTTTACTTGTGTTTTGTGTGTCTTCTCCTTACCTTACCACAGACGAAGTTCCAGTTTTTCTATTTTTTTTTTATAACTATGTGACGAGGCCATACCCCTAGCCTTAAACAGCCGAACACCAACGCGTTACCGTCACAAGGTACATCCAGCTCATTTCTCACTCTGGTACAGTACTTGTGTTGCGACAAATCTTTGGACCCTTTTAACATTTATTGTGCTTTACCCGGTATAGGTTGCATGCAGAAGCGTAATAGTATACTGTTCATTACTACTGGTAAATGGTAAGCTTGTGAAGGATTAATCATTCACAAGAATGACGAGAAGTGAAGTTAAAGAACAGAGCCAAGAACTCTCAGGGTTCATCCCTATTATGTAGCCATCGACATGTACGAGGAATATAATGGGTCCAGCACTGATCCCTGTGAGGACCAAGCATGTTACTCCCGTTTATTCTGATTTCCTCTTTTACCTTATTACTCTGTCTTCTGTTAGATGGGTATTCTCACAAAGTTCAGCACATTTCCAGTTGCTCCCTCTGGCTCCAGGAGATTGTACGTAAGCTTCCTCTGTGAGAGATGACAGCTTTTTTGGCGGTCCTGGAAGATGCATTCTCTCAGTTAAATTGTAGATGTTTACTATAGGCGCCTCCGCAGCAATTATTTTCAGTAGCCGCAGAAAGACTTTTGATAAATCCAGATCCTCTGGCTGCTGCTTTGCCCCCGCCACCTCCATTATTTTAATGTTGCAGTGTGTGTAATTCAAGTGCATTCTAAACCCCCCCCCCCCCTCCCTCCGGAAGATGCTCGGAAACTTCCTTGGGGTTTCTGAGCCTCCTGGGAGCTCTTGTTAAGTACCTTGCGTATTCCCTGGTGATTTTCCGTTTGGTCGCCACCACTAGTTTGACTACTTGAGGCTTCAAACATTTTCCTCGTGATATAATAGTAGTAGATTTGTTTTTTTTTGTTTTTTACCCTTGAAAGCAATGTTTTCATCATATCAGTTTCAAGTTTGTCATCTGAATCTTCACACACTTATTTTTTGTTCTGTTGTAGTAAAGGGTAAACAGGTGGTCCAATTGTTTACAGTGAACGCCGTGAACGCTACAGATCTGGTTTAGTAGCTCCAGTTGTTGACCTTCTGTTTGGTTTTGGACGTAAGAATTACTGGAGACATTGACCATCATAACTATTATCCTCCATGCACATTCGTCACCATTAACAGTTAAACTTTCCCAAGCAGGTATTATATCAAATATACCTATTATAAAATAATAGGCATTATGTAAAAATATAGGTCTTATATGCAGCGACATCATCGCTAAATTAATTGACAGTTCCCCGCCCATTACCCCTTTGACTCTTGATAATTAATTAGCGCACTTTGTCTTACAAATGATTACAGTTAAGGTTTGTTATATTGGCGAGCATGCTTCTATTGACGAAGGTACACTTATAATGGAATGATACGAGCCCGCGGTTGGTCTGTGTGTGTGTGTGTGTGTGTGTGTGTCTGTGTGTCTGTGTGTCTGTGTGTGTGTGGGTGGGTGGGTGGGTTTTGTAACGCCTTTAGAGCACTAAGATGTTTGGGCGTTTGTTCTGGTCTACTGTTCTTGACCGTCTGGAAGCTGTGTTTATGCCAATGGCTGCTTTAACTCATTCTTTTACTAATTTGTTTTTTAGCTGGGTGTATCGTGGGTTCTTGTTGACGGCTGATTGTGTAAAAATGACATGCATACAACATGGCAGGTGTATGATGTATTTGTTTATGACTGTTTCTCTGGCGCAGGGATGGCCGCTTCCGTGTGGGCGACGAGATCATCAACGTGAACGGACGGCGTCTGCGCGGGGTGACGCTGGACGAGGCGCGACACATCTTGCGCAGCACGCCTAAGGAGGTGGACATCGTCATCGCCAGGGAAGTGGACCTTCAGCACCACCGAGAGTACAACGCCGCCTATGCCCCCGCCCAAGATGGCAAGACCGTCGAGGCGGAGGCCGCTCAGAGGCTGAGCGAAGCATGCGGCGAGCTTTATGCTGCCGACAGAGCCTTTAGGAGCGAGCTTCTGAGCAACGAGGAGGTTCTTGGAGTGAGACGGGAGCACCTTGATGGCTACACCTCTGGTAGCTTCCCGCGCAGGAGAGGATCTTACTCGGATTATGACGAATACGCGGACTACACCACCTTGGCGCCGATGGAGTCTTACCTACCGGGTTATGACCCATCAAGAGCCACGGTGTCTGTGTCTGGCCCCGTGTCCGTCACAGTTCCTATGCTGGAAAGCCCAGCTTCTCTTCCATCCAACCTTCCAGCGTCTATGCCATCGTCCCCTGCCACTACAACCAACTCGACCACCTTATCGTCCTCAGAGCACACCCGCAGTGATTACTATGAAACGTACGAGTCTAGAAAGTGTAATCTTCCTCGCTATGTTAACGGCGAAGCCAGATATTCCTCCTCGCACGACGTGAGAAATGCAAATGACGTGAGATACTCTTCAGCCAGTGATGTGAGACTTTGTGGCAATAAGGCTTTTTTCAGTGACATTTACAAGTCGAAACTCATACATGTGGAGCCTGAGGACTGCCAGGTGCGAGAATATAGACCCTCTAGTATGATTCAAAGGTTACAGGCGACGCCCCAGAAGCAGTTGTTGATAGAAACTAAGTCCTTCCCCAGCAGGAAGTGCCCGCCGGTCACCCAAAGATTATCATGTCCACCGGGATCTGTCAAACTTCCCAGCCCCTCGAGGTCAGAGCCCCGGGGACTCAGTTCGACACTGCCGCGACGTCCCAAGTCTGTCTCCATGTCGGTGCAAACAGTAGCTTTCGAGAAGGGCCGCGGCAGGAAGTCACTTGGGTTCTCTATCGTCGGCGGGCGGGACTCCCCGAAGGGCAGCATGGGCATCTTCGTCAAGACCATTTTCCCCAACGGTCAGGCTGCCGAGGAGAACAAACTCAAGAACGGTAAGAATTACGGCCTTCATATATTTGATAGTTACTTGGATAACACCTCTTAGCTTGCAATTGTAAGCCAAGAGTTGTATGGTTTGTCTATTACTTAAGTTTTTCTCGCTTGTTATGTTTCCAGTTATGCACTGTTTATATCTCTGTATTCCTCATCTGTCTTTTAAACAAGACTAGAGTTCAGCGGTACTGAAGTTTCTAATATAACTGTAAGCTAAGGTGTGTTATCCCACATCAGCTTATCTGAATCTTCACCCTAGAAGCTGATTTATTGACCGAGCTAAACCTGAAGCCAACTGTGTCTCGGGCCTTCATACGGCTGTGTGACTTAATTACTTGCATATCTACGTGTTGAGAGAACATGTTCCAAAAAAAGCGAATCTACATAGTAATGAGTGACCGCTGATGGAGTGACATTCTTAAGGCTGGCACAGCCAGACAGAGGCTGCTAATGGCTGACCGCCTTGTGTTGTGGGTGCCATCTTATGACTTTCCACAAATGATGATGGGTAGACCAACCAGAACAGCAGGAATACTCAAGATTGGAGTCAACTTGTGCTTCATTTAAGGTTTTACAATTTCTGCTGTCAAGACGGTATGAGATGTTCTTTAGGAGTGCAAGTTTCTTGACCCGCCTTACCAGTTAGGTTCGTGGGGAAACAGGTGGGGTGAGTGGATGGTCGTGGGGGAGGGGAGGGGGTTGTTAAGGGTACAAATGTTCAGGTGTGTAAAATGGTCATCAATTGTTCAGTGGGGTCACAGGTCGTTAAAAAAATCAGTCGTTAAGGGCTGTGGTTTTGGGTAATGGCTTGTGTAGACCCAGCGAGGAGGGCTCGTGGGTCCGGCCGAGGGTCTGGCTACATTGTTAAGGTATCCGGCACCTGGCTAGACGTCAACCGGCCCCCCCTCCCCCTACCTCCTCGGTACCTGGTGAAAACATGTTGACCACAAATTGTCGAGAGAGAGAGAGAGAGAGAGAGACGCGCGCGTTATAGATTGGTCGTACTTGGACTTTCTGGACCCAGTAGCCTGGGTCCTGGGTTGTGAGCCTGCGCAGAGTACGACAGACTCGAACCCTGGTACCGGTTGACACCGAGGATGTCACTCTGTCAATAACACCACTCTGGTGTTATTGACTGACATCCTTGGGAGCTTGTGGAACACCCCCCCCCCCTCGATACGGTAACTCCTAGATGCTTACTTTGGATAAGGAAGTTACTAATAAAATGGTCAAGGCAGCCGTGGCATTCGGTAAGCATTTGCCTGAGCTTGAAACTCTCTTTTTTTGCTTTTGGTGCGACAGACGTGGCCATGCATTTACAATGGTAACCAACATGTGCCTTTTCTCCTATACTCCATGGACAGAGTTAGAGATCTGCTCTACATAATGTGCAGTGGGTTATTGAGCTTTTTTATCACTGTGTTGTAGAATGGTCAGTAACCTAATAATGTACTGTAGCAGCTCTCTAACCTTGTCTCTGTAGTACACACGAGAATGTGTAAATTTTGGTTAGCATTGTAAAAGCTCTACACTCGCCTTCTGTGGTTGAGATGATTGTGTTGGGGGGGGGGGAGGCTGTGAGTGACAGTGCTCTGTCAACCTGTCTGGTGTCAGGCAGGTTGATACCTGGTTGATACCTGGTTGATGGGGTTCTGGGAGTTCTTCTACTCCCCAAGCCCGGCCCGAGGCCAGGCTCGACTTGTGAGAGTTTGGTCCACCAGGCTGTTGCTTGGAGCGGCCCGCAGGCCCACATACCCACATACCCACCACAGCCCGGTTGGTCCGGCACTCCTTGGAGGAATAAATCTAGTTTCCTCTTTAAATGTCCACGGTTGTTCCGGCAATATTTCTTATGCTTGCTGGGAGGACGTTGAACAACCGCGGACCTCTGATGTTTATACAGTGTTCTATGATTGTGCCTATGGCACCTCTGCTCTTCACTGGTTCTATTCTACATTTTCTTCCATGTCGTTCACTCCAGTACGTTGTTATTTTACTGTGTAGATTTGGTACTTGGCCCTCCAGTATCTTCCAGGTGTATATTATTTGATATCTCTCTCGTCTTCTTTCTAGTGAGTACATTTGGAGGGCTTTGAGACGATCCCAATAATTTAGGTGCTTTATTGCGTCTATGCGTGCCGTATATGTTCTCTGTATTCCCTCTATTTCAGCAATCTCTCCTGCTCTGAAGGGGGAAGTGAGTACTGAGCAGTACTCAAGACGGGACAACACAAGTGACTTGAAGAGTACAACCATTGTGATGGGATCCCTGGATTTGAAAGTTCTCGTAATCCATCCTATCATTTTTCTGGCTGTCGCAATATTTGCTTGGTTATGCTCCTTAAACGTTAGGTCGTCAGACATTATTATTCCCAAATCCTTTACATGCTGTTTTCCTACTATGGGTACATTTGATTGTGTTTTGTACTCTGTATTATGTTTAAGGTCCTCATTTTTACCGTACCTGAGTACCTGGAATTTATCACTGTTAAACATCATGTTATTTTCTGATGCCCAGTCGAAAACTTTATTAATATCAGCTTGAAGTTTTTCAATGTCCTCAGCCAAGGTAATTTTCATACTGATTTTTGTGTCATCTGCAAAGGATGATACGAAGCTGTGACTTGTATTTTTGTCTATATCTGATATGAGAATAAGGAAAAGCAGCGGTGCAAGGACTGTACCCTGAGGTACAGAGCTTTTCACTGCACTTGGACTAGATTTTATATGGTTGACAGTTACTCGCTGAGTCCTGTTTGACAGAAAACTGAGTATCCAGCGTCCTACTTTACCGGTTATTCCCATTGACTTCATTTTGTGTGCTATCACGCCATGGTCACATTTATCGAAAGCCTTTGCGAAGTCCGTGTATATCACATCAGCATTCCGTTTCTCTTCTAATGCCTCAGTGACTTTGTCGTAGTGCTCAAGTAGCTGTGAGAGGCACGATCTTCCCGCTCGAAATCCATGTTGGCCTGGGTTGTGAAGGTCATTGGTCTCCATGAAATTGGTGACCTGACTCCTAATCACTCTCTCAAATACTTTTATGATGTGCGATGTTAGTGCAACTGGTCTATAATTTTTCGCCAATGCTTTGCTCCCTCCCTTGTGTAGAGGGGCTATGTCTGCTACTTTAAGTGCATCTGGTATCTCCCCCGTGTCCAAGCTCTTCCTCCACACTATACTGAGTGCCTGTGCTACCGGCACTTTGCATTTCTTTATAAATATTGAATAACATGAGTCTGGACCTGGGGCCGAGTGCATGGGCATGTTTTCAATTTCTTTTTCAAAATTTAGTGCGCTCGTGTTTATATCAGGCTTGACTGACTGAAGCTTAACTGACTGACCCCTCCCCTCTCCCAGCCTGTTGGACCAAGCTCTCACAGGTTAAGCCTGGCCTCGGATCGGGCTTGGGGAGTAGATCAACTCCCAGAACCCCATCAACCAGGTAAGCTGGTGTCAGGCAGTGTCGGCTTGTCTGGTGTCAGGCAGTGTCGGCTTGTCTGGTGTCAGGCAGTGTCGGCTTGTCTGGTGTCAGGCAGTGTCGGCTTGTCTGGTGTCAGGCAGTGTCGGCTTGTCTGGTGTCAGGCAGTGTCGGCTTGTCTGGTGTCAGGCAGTGTCGGCTTGTCTGGTGTCAGGCAGTGTCGGCTTGTCTGGTGTCAGGCAGTGTCGGCTTGTCTGGTGTCAGGCAGTGTCGGCTTGTCTGGTGTCAGGCAGTGTCGGCTTGTCTGGTGTCAGGCAGTGTCGGCTTGTCTGGTGTCAGGCAGTGTTGGCTTGTCTGGTGTCAGGCAGTGTCGGCTTGTCTGGTGTCAGGCAGTGTCGGCTTGTCTGGTGTCAGGCAGTGTCGGCTTGTCTGGTGTCAGGCAGTGTCGGCTTGTCTGGTGTCAGGCAGTGTCGGCTTGTCTGGTGTCTGTTGTAGACGTGTATATTGCGCCATTACCACAATCACAGCGGCCATAACTTGCTGTATTATGGTGGTTTCCGTGTTTAATTTGTTTTTACAAATAAAGAAATTTTGAATTTTTGTTCTCTTGTATAGCTTTGTTCTAATTGGATTTCTTCAGTCTGGTATGATGGCTTCTGTTCAGTTTCTTCAACCTCTTTAAGTTTATCTTGTCTTTATTGTGGTAGTCTGTTCTGGTTATGAATTTATTCTTTTTCTTGTGTATTGTCTACATTCTCTCAAGTTGATTTTCTTTGTGATCTTCCGCAAAGGACCATATTTCATGAAGACTTTGTGTGCTTCGCTATTTAATTCTTCCATGTCTTGTGGTTTTATCCTGTGATTCACAAGTACAGTGTGTGGGAATTTGGGCACTTAAGATGGTTTCTATATTGGATATTTGCAAATGGTGTTGTGGTGACCCTGGGTAGTGAAGTGACCCCTTGTGGTGGTGACCCTTAGAAGTGAGAGGGTGGAGGCAGGAAGCAAGGGTCAGAGGGGAAGAGGCGGTGGGCGTCACACAGTACCTAAGGCACCTCACTGTCCTTTGTGTTACCCTGGAGGAGCTCAGCAGGTAATGATGGGGTGAGCCCTCCCCTCCCCTCTCCTCCCCTCCCCGCCGCACGCACGTGATAGTAGCAGGGTGACTTGGGAGGTTAATGGGTGGGTCCCGCGAGGCTTAAGAGTGGGTGTAGTATGGGTGGGGAGTGTAGTATGGGTGGGTGGGTGTGCCCTGAGTACTCAGAAATTGTGTCGAGGCCTCAGTCTGTCAGCATTTTTTCTGTTATTTGTGTATTTATAATGTATATATTTGAGGGTCCCGGTAGTTCAGTTGGGTTCGTTCTCGACGCACAATCGAGAATTCTGGGTTCGAATCTTGGCAGGGACAGAAATGGTTGGGCACATTTCCTTTCACCTAATGCACCTGTTCACAAAGCAGTGAGTAGGTACTCAGGAGTCAGCTTGTTATGGGGTTCCATCCTGGGCGGGGTCAGTAATTCGGCCTTGTGGTGGGGGGGGGGGGCTTTGATAAAAGCCAAACGTGTATAAATACAC